TGGTATTAAGGTATACATCATGGGTTTAAATATAGGAGTAAACCACTTGTACCCACGCGAAAAATGGCTTAATGACACTTTCCCACTGTCTGACTTTTAAAATACCAATTTAGTACCCAAAGCAAATATCCGTTAGTAATTCATTTGGAGGAAGGGCAAGATAGTAAAAAGGTAGTTGTAAGTAAGGGCAATTGTCAACTAAAAATTTACATCTGAAATCAAAATTTAAAAATAAAATTTTAGGAATAAGAGGGTTGGGGCGACAACACGTGGCTAGGGAAGTTGACTTTAATTAGGAAAAAGGAAACGCAAAAGTCATTTGACTTTTGCTATTCCAGAATTGACAACTGATGTTTGCGTTTTCATGAGACAAAATTTGCGATTGGTTTCTAGCGATTATGGCGGTTGTTTTCGATGATCTTTGAGTGTTGACGGCGACTTACAATGTTGAGTTAGACTTAGGGTTGGCGAGTTTGGAGTTTTGGGTTGGTTACAATTGTTGTCGACAAGGTTTAGGGTTGTTGTTGTGGAGTTTTTTTGGCGACCTAGAAGGCTTTGAAGCGATTTCGATTCACAAGTTGGACCGTTGAGTCGCGAGATTTGACTTTGTTCATCGTTGAGGCTATTTAAGAGAGAGTTAACATTTGTGACTATTTCCACTTCTAGAGATAGTTATCTTCTTTTGTTCTTTTTGTAGTCTGAGTTTATAGCCTGGATAAAAATGTGATTTTTGTGTTGTTGTTTTGTTTTGTTTTATTTTACGATTGGGTTAATGCCAAGAAAATCTATTTGTTGTTTTCGTGTATGATAGGGTTGAATCTTTGAAAGTCCTAGTATTGTAATCAAGTTTATCAACCAAATAATATGAACTTTTAGATTGCGATATGTCTTTAAATTCTTTGTTAAATCATACTAACTTGTCCTTTGCAGTGGCGTTAGACTATTTCCTACCTTTGATCTCATTTATATGTATTCACGTTTACATCCAAAAAGTGGTCCCCATGAAGTATTGGAAAGTTATTTTATTAGTGTCTATATTTGCTTTATATTGTCTGTATCTTTTGTTTATCCATCTAGATATTTTGTTAATAACATCGCAGGATGGGTGTGTGCCTGAAAGACCGATGCAGTGATCTAAACCAATCGTTTTGATGACAAAAGATCTGTCATGTCTTTTACCTTGTTCGGAAAATTATAATGGTTAACAGTAAACATGCTAGTTACTCAGACCTCTGCCAATTGGAACAGGAAAAAGACCCAACAAATAATCTTCTATACATCAATAGTACACTACCACACTGACCAAACATTAAAATCAAGTAAGCAATCATTATACCAATCAAGATAAAGATATTATAAAATAAATAAACAAATAAGCACATTGTATTCTAGACAAATATAAGCATGCCATTAAAAACAGAGCCAACTTCCGCCATCAGCTTCACTCTCTGAGAAGAAACAGCGGCATCACAAACCCCTTTCTTGCCATTCTTTTAAGCACTGTTTAAGCTCAGCTTCATTTCTTGAACAAGTGTGTACTGTAAGAAACTTATCTACAATCTAAACAGAAATACAAATAATACAATGTTCTTAAATTATAAACCAAAAATCAAGAATTACCTCTAACCATTAAAACAAACTCACAGAGCAGTATTTTGTCTCTTCTAAGCTCTCAAGACACTCTAATATTGATGGTGTATTTTTCAGTTAGTTGAGTTCTTGAGCTTAAGACTAAAATATTATACATAGTCAAACTTCCATCAAGCTCTTAATAAATCCCAATCAATGGTTAAACAAAACGTTTGAAAACTGAAGCAACAAATGTGGACCATCAAGCTTTAAAACTGATGAAAACGTTATCTACGTTACATGAGTAACGTAAGTTTTATATGTACAGCAGCACCAAACCCAGCAAAAGGTTATGTTTAAATCAACTAGAAAAAAGAAAAGTTGACAATTTTATTGAACAAAGAAAGTGAAAAGGAGAGATAGGAAGAACCCAATTCCACTAATGCCACCAGTGAAGATAGCAGTTGTTATGTCTCAAAAAGTCAAGCCTATGTCAGCACAATTAATGTCTCTCTGTACCAGCTGCCAAGCCCATATCTCCAAAGATATTCTCACCAACTTTATCTCATTTCAAAGAGATGAATGGACGAGAGCCTTCCATGTGTCAAGGTAGTTTGCAAAAGCTCTCATTGCATTGAGTGCAAATGTGAATAAATGGATTTTTTCTCTTCCCGAAGAGGGAGAGGCTGGTGGCTGGGCTGAGATTTAGTTTCATTTTCATTCTCTCTGTAAAAACACTATATATCTTCATCTTTGTATGCCTTACGGGCAAAAATTATAGAAATAGTGAGAGATCAATAAAATAACAGTGGATGTAGGAGTCGCTTGTTGCATCCGAACCACTATAAAAACCCTTCTTGCCAATCTTTTACTTATATTTTCTGCAAAATATATAATCTCAGCTCCATATTCAAATCCCATGTATCCATTTTCCCGATGCCTTATATAATAAAGTAAGTAATTAACTTTATAAAATTATTTTTTATTTACATAATCTTTTGGGTAGTAATGTAAATAGTATTGGCCACGGGATAATTCTAAACCCCCTAAGGTATTCCTTAACAACAGTAAACCCTCTGGCTCTCAACCCCAACGTTACTACTTTACTTTTGTTTTAAAGAACAAGAAAGTAAATGTATTACTTATATATAATCAAACAAATTCAAAAAAACTAAAAGAAAAAAATAAAACTCAATTCACACCTCCCACCCCATCTCACTCTCTATTCATCCTCTCACAGTCTCCTGATAAGAGCTTGAAAGTAACATTTTATAGTGATTTAATTATTGTAGAAAAAGGTGTTTTATTGTTGGAGTTTGAATTTATTATTTCATAAATACCTTTTACGGGATCACGGGTGTATTTTGAGTATTTCAGGTTTCACGTGATTTGAAGGAAAAAGAATGATGTCGATGGAATTCGTGACGAGTAGGAACAAACGGTTGCAAGAATTAAAGTGAAACGAAAAAGTTGTGATGCGTCGAAATTACAACGTAAACTGAGAAATCCTTCAAGATGGAGCATACTGATGTTTTGATCATAACTTGAGCTGTGGTAATCGGAACACGATTAGTGGCGCGGAAAGCTTATTCAAAGAGCTACAAAGTTCATGTGATGATTTTACCAAATTTAAGTTACAGGACTCTGGGGAGAAAGAACGATCGCCGTAGCAATCATTTCTCATCGCCGAACGATGGTCTCGGCCTGTTTGGGTTATTGCGTTCTCCTAATTGATTGATGAGGATTAAGGATTTTAATTCTTTTCCTAAGTAACCTGCAAACCCTAGCACTATAAATAGGATTTTTAATTGTTTTAAGGTTTTTTTTAGAGAAGGAGAAATGACGGCTACTATTTTGGAGATCGGAATTCTTGAAGTTCTCGTTCGCCAATTAGAGAAGTTTTTCTTTTTATTTTCTTGAACTCATGTTATTGAATACAATGATTATTTTTATTACTGTAATTATGAACTAAATCTTTTTAGGGCTAAGAGTAGCCAATTTATGAATACGTGTTGACTTAATTGTTGTTAATTTTATTGAGCTTTTTATTCTAAGTTTTATTATTGTGCATAATGCTTTCAATTCTTAAGGGCCCGAGAGTTGATGATTTAGGTTGGATTGAGATCGAGAGATGAAAATGATTAGTCTAAGTAATAAAAACCATAGTTGAGCGACGCTAGAGAAGGTTAGGGATCTGTGGGGCTCTGGTAAATCCATAGAACTTATGATCTCTTAGCTTCTAAATTCAACTTAGAGATATTGGGTTGTGCTTAAGGGTTAATTCGCTAATTGTTTGAGAGAAAGTTAGTAGAAATATTGATTGGAGTTTGACTGTAGAATAAACTAATTAGGTTAGCAACAATTATCAATGCATAAGATTAAATGGTGTGAAATCGTACCCTAGGTTTAGTCAATTGATTCTCTACCAAAGTTTATAAAATTTTGCTTTTATTTAGTTTTTGTTTATATTCTTTTCATTAAATCTTTTAAATTTCGTTTCATCAATAGCAACAAGATATACTAATTTAGTACTTGGTAAGTGTTCTCTTGGGATTCGACACTCGTTTCAAGCTTTATTACTTGCACGATTTCATACTGCGAATAACTGTCACTTCACTCATTATTGTCGCCCACCACACCCAACCACCCTTTTTTTTTTTTTTTTTTTTTTTTCAATTTTCGTGGTTGTTTGTTGCAATCTTTGGAAAAATTGCATATTGTCGGTAGTGGGTGGAGTTGGTAGGTCGGGAGCCAGATTTGTTTTGGTGTGGACAAATATTATCAACTTTTTAATTCATTAAATTTGTTAAAATCTTCATATACAAAATATTTTTGTTTTTTATGTATTTGATTGATAAAAAAAGAAAAAATATTTGATATTTAGAAACACAAAATCGAATAAAATGTGATAATGCTTTAGGCTTTTTAATTAAATTAAATAAAGGGTGTCATGTTAAACATATAGTATAAAGGTATAACTGAAAAGTTTCCAAGTTCAGTGGGGGCATGCGCCCCAGTCAATAGAGGATGATGCTAGCTGCATGCGGCGAACGACGAAGGATATTGGGGGGGGGGGGGGGGCGGCAAGCCTTTTGTTTTCATTCTATTTATTTATTTTTCTTATAAATTAAAATAATATGTAATTAAAAATATCAATAAATATGAGAGATAAAAGATTATCGGTTGATGAATTTATAAATGGGTTAGAGTAATATTGATACCAAAGGGGTTGTGGGTATTGGTTAGGTACACCTTATGGGGTTGAGAGAAGTTGATATCAAGGGGGTTCATTAGTTTAAGGGTATACCTTATGGGGTTGGAGGGAAATATCTGATACTAAAGGGTACAGCGGTTTAGCTGGATTATAAGGTATACGTTTTTTTTAGATCACATTTCAAGCAGAAAAAAATAAGTAGTGCACATGACAGATATTGTCTGGATCAAAACATAGATTATTCTCACTAATGATGGTTAATTTAACAGCCGAATACATACCCTCTTGCCCCCTCGTTAGATCATGGTGGATTGCCACCAATGATCCTCTCTCTCTCACTTTGCCCATTTAAGATGAAGCTTCGATACCTGGCTCACGAATTTGAATAGATGTTCTTGACAAACTTGCTTCGAGTTCATTTAGCTCATCTAGGTCCAACTCATCATCATCGTCGTCATCAGGAAGGATCTCTTCAGAACCTGCCACTGCAGTAAAGGAAGTGCTTGGTCCTGCTGATCCATCCTTAACCTATAATTGCACAAAAGAGACAAGATAGAAATATAAATATAAATCAGCAGTCCTATATTGCACTTCCTGCATTGAACATGGGGGGATTTTGAATGGGTTAACAAACAAGCCCACCCACAGAAAAGGGGCCTAGAAAATTCACAATCAGGAAGTTATGAACTCACACCAGTTCCGAACCATCACAAAGGTATACAAAACTGAAAACTGTACAAGCCAAAATTACCTTATTTTCAGTATTCCCAGGTTCTTCATCTCTCTGGTATTTTTCATATGCCTCAGCATCATCCACAAACAAGCTTGAATCAGAGAGAAACAATTCGCGACCACTGAAATGAACAGAAAATCAAATTAACAAAATTTTATATGGAAAAAGTTTGATGTGAGTGAGGAATCCAGTGAAAAATACCTCATCCTATCATTCTTAGCTCTGTCTGCTCGTTGTGCAGCCAAGCCTGCTTCTCTTTCTTCCATCTTTTTCTTCCTCCATTGCATAAATAGCTCAGGAGTCATGGGGGTTGATACAGTTAATTTTGCACGCTGAAGAAAATAGCATAGGAGCCTTAATCAGAAATGAAGAGCACGAATAGAAAGAAGAAACAGAAAATAATGGGCAAATAAGAAACCTGATTCTCAATATCATCTTCAACAGCAATCTTCTCAGTCTCTTCATCTAGAAGTGCTTTCATTTGAGATTTTAAGACATATCCAGGAGGAAGAGCATGTCTGTAGTGACAATCTTTACCACCATTTGGACATACCCAGAACCAACCATACTGCTTCTTTTCCACTGCTTCCAAGAAGTGTTTGCAAACCTACATTAAATACAAAAAAGAGAATAAATAAATAATCAAAAATCACGCTTTGTTTTTCCAAAGAAATTTATATTTCCACTCAAAAACTCCATTTTCTGACAGATAATGCATCTGCAACCCATGGGCATTTGCCCATGCCTTTAAAGATGATGACAGTCCTCTCATAGAGCAACCCAAATTGTTGTCAAGAGAATAGAAAACCAAGAAACTTTCCCCTATCTCCAAACACCAACTCGTCCCCACCAAACCATGCAATGTACATGTTTTGAGAAAAGTGATCACCAAAAGAGCATAACAAACCACAGCAGTATAACTTAATAGATGCTTCCACAAAGCCTGTAGTGTGTTTTTGGTTGGAGGCAGAAGTAAGGATTGGTCAAGGGGAAGAAAGAGGGAGGAAAGTGACCTCATAGTCTTACTTAACAAAACTTATTTCACAGTTTCTCCCCTAAGTTATACTGTTGTTTTGCAGCTCACTCCCATGTCTTTCCTTTCCTTTCCTCTACTCACATGTGAAGAGATAGAGAGACTCGCTCACCAACCACACCTATGAACATAAACAAAACTTGCCCTAAATCAGCACCTGCCACAGCTAGATCTGCAGCTCATGTGCTAGTGCCCTACCACCTCAATACATAAGCTACTAGATTATTGTGCACATCATGATTGCATCAAAAATTAGAAGCATAGGATACAATAGAGAAACTTGACAGTATACAGAGAGATAATTCCAAACTTAAAATATAAAACAGCTTACATTACAATAAATATCAAACAAAAAGAAAAGATATAGAACAAGGAAACAACATACAATCTCAGTTGGTTTATTCTGGTTATACTCGTTCTTCTTTGACTCAACAACCTTCTCTAGAGTCTCTTGATCCCAATCCTCCATTGTTTCTTTTTAACAAACAGAAAACCCAGTAAAAAAGTCAATTTTTTTTCCCCAAATAAGGAATACTAATAATGTATAAGAGCCAAAATATACAGATCATAATTTAAAATATATGTCCATTACCTTCATCACGCTTATCGCTGTAGATATCAATCTTCTCACCCTTCCTTTGAACATTCAGATCATGCGAGAACTTGCATTTGAAACCCTTTTGACATTGTCCCACCTTGAAAAACTCACATAATATTGACTTGGGATCCACACCTATAAAAAATTCCACTCTCTAAACTGATGCACATTTTAACTGATATATGCAAAACACTAGAACAGTGAAAGAAATTAACAGTATTATTGCAAAACACATACCAACTGGTACTTTTGGCTGACTAACAGCAATCTTGAACAAATCATTCAACTCTCTATCTCTTGCTTTCTCTTCCTCCTTCTTTTTCTGTTCATCAAATAAAACGTCACTGGTTATGCAATGAAAAAAAAGATAAGAATTTTTGGTTTTTGAACTCTCAAAAAAGGTTCTTATTAGTCTTATTTAAGCTTTTACTGACTCATTTGCGAATACTATTTTCTTGCGAGCAATAAAGTAATACTGAAACAGTGGCGGGAGCCAAACACGGCCTAAACTACATTAAGCTACCTATTGAGCTAAAAATTTAATAATTTTTTCTTAAAAATAAAATTCTATTTAACTACATAATATCCATTAAACTAACAGAGCTTCAAAATGAAGTTAAACTAAACTCAAATATAAAAAAGGCAAAGTAAAACCGACCTTGGCGGCGATTTTGCTGGCGTCGGGTTTGGGCTGAACTGATTGTTGGAGACTTTGAACGTACTTCTGCACATTTTTGCTCTTGTTCTTGTTCTTCAAACCAAAAGTTTTGTCTTCGACGACTTTTTGCTTCTTCGCTAAATCGGTTTTCGATTGCTTTGGCGGCATGCTTAACGCGATTCAAAATTGAATTAGGAAATCAGCAAATTCAAAAATTAATTAATAATGTAAAACCTAAATTGAATGGTTAAAGAATAAGTTGCTTTTTATGAAGAAAAGAAGGTTTGAAGTGGAAGTATGAAAGTGATATGAGCGAGGGTTTCGGATTTGGCCGACGAGATTGTTTCAGGGAAGAAGGGTTATGGGCTTTATTTTGTTTCATCAAAATGACGAATTCATCCTATCCCTGTATATGACGTGTCGTTGGTAATGGAAAACATGAACGGCATGTCGTTCAGAAGTTAGAGGAGAATATGACGTATTGCTTTCCGTAAGAACAAATGTGTAAAATATCATTAGATCCAAAAAGATTAAAAAACTAGGGGCTGATGCAGTAACTATAACCAAGTACAAAGGGGTGTAACAATATTTAGCGTAGACAGTACGACATGTCGTTTTAAATGAATGACTTGGTCAGACACTAAAGACATGCTGTTTTCATGACGAACGACTTGTCATCCATGATATTACACTAAGAAAAGTACTGCAAGGTAAATATCACTGGGGTCCATCAGAATTCAGAATCACAACTTTGGGGGTTTTCGATATTTAGAGAACTTCAGGGGGACTAACTGATGGTCATCATTAATGTACGATAGTCGTTTGACTTATGAATCACATGTCGTTTACTGTACGACGAGTTCTCGTTTTATAATATATCAATAAACCCCTATTCTTTCGATTCATACTGGACCTAAGTGATATTTATCATGAAAATTTTTAATTTGAATGTCGCTTAAATGGAAACGACATGTCTTTCGCCGGGGAAACCACATGTCCTTTGCACGTAAAACGACATGTCGTCAGTTTTAGAAATATCAGGTGACCCCATTTTGTTCAATATCCGAAAAGCCCCTAGATTTATGAATCCACATGTATATTTACCATGAAAAAACCTTTAAGGACACGAAGGACAGATGCAGGTCGTTTACTCGGAAAAGTGATGATAAAATTTTTATCATAAAATCATTTTAATATTATTTGTGAATAATCTAAAGAATTAGTTTAGTTTTTCAATAATATTCATTCCAAATTCTTTTTAATTTTAAATTTGAACTTGACTCATCATATTTATAACAATTAGTCACATAAATTGTAAATCAAATATTTTGAAGATTTTCGCATATTTTCACATAGTAAATTTTCGATTATTTTGAAACAATGATATATTTTAATATATATACATATGACATAACATATAATTTCATTTGATTTTCAGAATTTGATTATTTAAAATATTTTAAAAGTGTTTCTAAATAGCCCTCATTGACTCTCTCAATAGACAATAATAGAGTAAACGACTTTTTCCCACCCAATGTTTGCCTTAATGACCCTTTTCCACCCAAAATATTTCAAAACACCACTTTTTCACCCAAAGTTTATATTCTGTTAATATCCAAAATACACTTCATTTTCTTAGTCGACTTTCGGCAAGTTACTAGTAGCAAGGGTAGAGGGGTTTTGTAGAGGGAATGCTAGTGGATCGAATGGTGATGACCAAATGAATATTCGCCATCGGAATCAACCAAAAATCAATTAAGAATAAGAAACTCTAGCTTTACAATGGTTGGCAATCAACGAGAAATCAAGTATCGTGAGTGAGATGCTTTTATAGAGAGGAGACCGGAGATTCAAATGGTGGTGATAGGGAGAATTTTTGTTGTCAAAATTGACTAGAATCGACTTTAGATAGTAACAGATTATTAACTTTGGATGGAAAAGTGGCATTTTTAAACATTTTATATGGGAAAGGCTATTAACTATTAAGGCAAACCTTGGGTGGGAAAGGCGTTTACTCACCATAATATTGGTAAGTTAATTCCAAAATTATCCCTTATTATTTTAAAAAAAAAAATTTACAGTTTTTTTAGTTATTTTGTAAAAAATATAAAGTGATTAAATTTATTAATTTATTTTATTTTATTAAAATAAGGTGGAAATAATGTTAATTGATTTTTTGGAGTGTATAAGAATTAAGATTAAGTAACTCCAGCTAATGGCAGGGGTTGAGAGCAATATCTGAAATCTAAGAGGGTTATTTTAGAAGATAATTTTTCCGGTGGTCGTTGGAAAGTAACCAAAAGGTCCAAAACTGACTTACAAGATACTATTCTTCTTCTTCAGTGTTTCAAAACCACGAGCTCGTTCTCTCTACAAGACCAACACAGAAATGAGATTTCACAAAACAGTTTACAGATTTTCTCAAATAAAGAACAGAACTCCATTATTGTTTCAATCATCAACTCAAGCTTCTCGTTCCTTCTCTCTGTTTAAATCAAAACCGAAGCCACAAAAACAGTTCGTTTCATGTTTCATATTTCTCATTGTTGAATTTTAGACCTTTCTTTACCTTTGAATTTCATAGTTGAAATGATGAAACTGCAGGGGCTCTTTCGGAATTGCATTTGACATTGATGGAGTTGTGCTTCATGGCCGCGTTCCCATTGGAGGCTCGCCTCAAGCTTTGAAAAGATTGTACGGCCATTCTGGTACTCTATTTACACACACGCACAAATACGATGGCAATTGTGGTGGTGGAAAAATCTCTTATCATTTTTTTTTCCTGGCAGGTAGTTTGAAGGTTCCATTTTTGTTCTTGACAAATGGTGGGGAATTTAAATAATTGAACTTTGTTTTAAATAGAACAAGAAATTATTAAATTTTATCATAACATAATATCATCATCAGGAGGAGGGATACCAGAATCCAGACGAGCAGTAGAATTAAGTGAACTTTTGGGTGTCAACATTTTAACTTGGCAGGTACTGTTTTGATATTTTACATTCTTTTGATATGACATGAATGTGCGAAAGTATTTCTCTATTTTTCTTTATTTGGTCTGAACTTCTGCGAAATTTGCTATAGCTGTCTTTTATGTCTTGCTGCAGGTTGTACAGGGTCACTCACCTTTTAAAAACTTGTTGAAAAGGTATAAATAAATACAGTGGAATTGTATGATTTGATGCTATTTTCTCTATCTTACGTTATGATCAATGGGCAATTTTGCTTCAGATTTGAGAATGAACTTATAGTTGCCACTGGTAAAGGAGAACCTGCTTTGGTGATGTCTGAGTATGGTTTCAAGTAAGCTTCACGTTCATGTCTTTTCTGGGTATTGCCTGATATTCATATCGTAGTTTTTACCATTTTATGCAACTAAAGTTCAGTTTGGTGGCAGAAATGTTCTCTCCTTAGATGAGTATGCATCATACTTTGAGAACATTGATCCTGTATCTCAATACAAGGCATGGATTAGCCGCTCGTTGAGAGGATATAATGTTTCCTCTGAAAGAGTTAAGGCAACTTTTGTTGTTAGTGATCCTGTAGACTGGGGCAGAGACATTCAGGTGTTACATTTAGAAGCTCCTTTTGAAAATGATTTCCTGTTAAATTTTTTATCTGCATCTGGAAAATTTATTGTCATTGTAATTTAGATGATCTTCATTTTGATTATTGGCATGTTGGCATTAGGTTCTTTGTGACATCCTAAGATCTGGGGGCCTTCCTGGACAAGTGAATGGAGATCAACCGCCTTTGTTCTTTGCTGCTGACGATCTCGAGTACCAGGTATGGTTTGATTTAACAAGATCTTTAGTTTGATATCTTTGATATTAGTTGTTCTTGAGAATATCAATCTTCACTGAGTTTACAAAAATGGGATTTGACTCTTTTGATTGTTCTTGCTCAACTTGGCAATACGTGATCTAATGAAAATATATTAGTACAGGCCGCATTTCCCTCAAAACGTCTGGGAATGGGTGCTTTCAGAATTGCACTGGAAAACGTCTTTAACAGGTTTTTTTTTTTTTTTTTTTTATAATTAATACATAATGAATCCATTAGCATTTTCACAAACCAAATTTTCATGTTTGGCAATAATTTGCAGAATTCACCATAGTCCTCTGGAGTATGTGACTTTTGGGAAGCCAAATGCTTTTGTATTTAAGAATGCTGAAGCGATTTTGAGCCAGTTTCTGCCATCAAGTATTGCTGATAATGCGTCACATCCTTTTAAAACCCTTTATATGATTGGTGACAATCCCTCTGTAGACATCAAAGGTGCAAGACAGGTTGCCACAAGCACAACTACATGTTTTCAGTTAGTTCTGTGCATTGAATTTGTTCATATCAACATGAAAAATCACTTGTTTTCATAATAGATCAAAAGTTATTCCTGCGAGAAAAATCAGGACTGATTGCAATCTGATTTTCAGGCAGGACATCCATGGTTTTCTATCTTGACAAGAACGGGAGTTTTCAAGGGGAGCGGTAATGATGCAGAGTTTCCAGCAGATTTGGCAAGTGCAATGATTCATATATACAAATTCTCCATGCAGAAGTTCAAGCACTTTCCTTTTATCTTATGATGTGTTTTGTTGCTGGGCAGGTTGTTGACACAGTTGAAGAGGCAGTAGATTATATTCTGAAACGGGAGTTTATTTCTTAGTAGAGTATTGTTTTTACTCAACACCCCATCTTCTAATTCAATCAAACATCATACTAGACATTTTTTAATCCAATTGAATTCAAATTATTTTGTAAAAATTCAGTGCTAAAGTCGACCAACATATAGTATTGTCATTATCATAAACATCAATCAGTAATCTAAAGCTTGTCATCTGGTGAAATCAATTTCTTTTTTTTCTTTAACAAATAAATGAATCCATCAGAATTGTACAAACATTGGTCCGATTGAGAGAGGAAGCATACTTAACTCTAAGAAAGTCGATCATCAATCAAACATTTAGCCATTTCTGTAAGTGACAGGACTTTCATGTGGCTAAAGATCTTAATGTAAGTGAAAGGACCTTCCTAGCAGTCCATACAACTAAAAAAAAGAACCAAATTTCAGAACAAGCAACATTAAGATGCATTACACATGCATTTCGGCTAAAGAAGAATTTCTAAAACTGAGCTAGACACACAAAAGAGTTGTCTAAGCAGCAGGACAAACAAATATAAGGTCAATGACCATGATTACCAAATTGCAATATTACTGAAAGTAAACTCTCTACAATAGTCAAGGTCACTTAAACATAGACACACATGAACTCAAATGATGACTTCTCAACTACTAATTTGGGATAAATTTTCATAACTTCATCCCATTAAATTTCAACTCAATCAAAAATCATATGGGAAACAAGATTTTTCTAATGTGTCAAACGAAAAGAGGTTTCAAAGTGCACCAAAAAGTCCATTTCCTTGTCAAAAAATGATCAAGAAACACAAAAGTTGAATAAAGCCAATATCTCAATCAAACAAATCAGTAACAATTAACCTGAAATGCAATGTAAATAACACAATCAAACAAATCAGAAAAGATTAACTTGAAAAGCAATTTTGAATCCATTTCCAAATCTACACAATTCTACAACTTCCATTTTCTTTTAACTTTTAAAAGAATTCATACAACAATAATATACTCTACAACAACAATGCAAATAATAACAAAAAGTTAATAACTTTGGAATAAAAGACCAAACTTACAATCTCACTCCCCCACTATTGCTCACTTTCATCCTCCAATTTCTTCACATAGGCCTTCAACACCATCAACACATCTCTAGCTGGAGCCTGTAAAGTACTCACCAAACCCAAAGCCGGTCCCTGCAATGCCCCCAACAACTTCGCATAAAGCTCAGCTCTTGTAGGCATACTTTCTAAAGCCTTAAAATCACCGGGCCCATAAAATTTCCCTTCAAACACAGCACCAGTAAAGTCATTCTCTTCCAATTTCTTCTCTTTCTGAAAGGTCCTGTACGGCTTGATGGCCGCCGGAATCTCTTCACTGTGAACAAAAAGCCAGGCATTCATGCCAGTCATGCACGGCTTTAAAGCCTCCCATTTGGTGCCCTCAATGGCTTTATAAACCAAAGTGTTTTTAGCCACAAGAAGCTTGGTGTTTTCCGGCAATGATCTCCTCAGGTCTTGGAATTGCTTGACGGTCAAGCCCTCGTACTTGATGGCGGCAAGAAGGAAGCAGTTTTCGAGATTGGTTTTAACGGCTTCGACGGTCTGTTCTTTCTTGGTACGGGAAATGGCGGCCCTGATGTGGGTGGGTTTAGAAGTGGGAGGGCGTTTGAAGGGAGGGAAATGGAAATGGGAAGTGAAAAATGGGTTAGGGTTCGGTTTTAGGGTTAGGGTTTGGGAAGAAGGGGGTGAGAAATTGGAAGAAGAAAAGGAAAGGAGAGTGGTTTCCATGGTGAAAGAAAATAGAAGTTGCGTTGTGGGGAGGAAGATGGAGCGAAGAGGATGAGTTGTTTTTTTTTCGTTGGGGGGCTTATCTTATCAGCATTTTATTGCAGTTCACGGGTTATGACAATTTCCTCCTGAAGGTTTGAAAAAGTAACAAATACACCCAAAATTGATTACTTTAATATCCTTTAGCTAGTTATAAACTTATAATACCTAAAATTAAGTAAATTACATACTAAAAAATGAATAAAATAAAATGAGAAAGTGAGTATAATAAATAAATGATAAGACTTTAGAAATAAAAATCCTTTTTAGTTTGTATATATTTAGAATAAAAATTGAAGAAATAAAAACCGAAAATAATATATAATTAGACTGAGGGTATAGTCTTTATCTGCAAAGTAATCAATTTTTTGGGTGCATTGTTTCTTTCCGAAATCATTGGGTGTGCTGTAGTTTTCTTAGACCTTGAGGAGGAAATTGTCAAAAACCGACAGTTGCTATCTACACTAAATTGTGGTTTCAGAAAAAGAAAAGAAAAATGCTATTTGGGTTTTTAAAATTATAGAATATTAAATTATGAAACAGAAAAAATAAAAAATGAAAGCAAGTTTCTGGCAAAATAAGTAATCCTCACCATTATCAGATGAGCCAAATATCAACACAACACACTTTAATAAGTTCAGACGTCTAGCTAAATCAGTAGTCATAGTTTTGCCTTCCTAGATACATCAAAAGGCTTAGGTTTGGAATTTCAGAAGATACGGCAAAGCCAAACACACCTTAAACTTATTCAGTCAGAATGTTATTAATTTACTATCTACAAGTGCTTGGCAAAGATGGACTCCACAACGCCTTGAGCGATAGGATGATAACAGTCGCGAGCCTCGCTGAACACCCTTTTGGCCAAGATCTTCTCTTCCTCCTTTCCGGCTCCTTGTACAAGAGCAATGTAGAGTGGTCGAAGGTACTTCATCCTACCAACTTCCTTCAAAGTTTTCTCCACCTCGCTGTAATAATCTCTGCACTTGGACAGAATGGCCAGCTGGAGAAATGCTACTTTCACCTCATAGTTCTTTGATTCCGACAGTCGATAACGTTCATCCAAGGCTAATACCTGTTCAAAAAAAAAAAAAAATTAGCATAATGTATCTTAGTTAAGGAACAAGCTACAGGTTCTTTAGTACTTGTCTTCTTCAATTGATTTGGACATCCTTGGCAATAATACATAGCAAGCCTCAGGCTCCCAACTAGAATGTGCTTGCAGATTCAGGATCCTTTAAGACTCTATACATTTATGATTAAAAAGGTAAGCTGCACCAGGGAATCATTTGACTGTATTTCCTAGACAATTGTCTAATCCTTGAAAACTGGACAAGCAATAATCAAAGCAAGGAAAAAATCAGATCAGTTAAGCTTCAGCAACACAAATCCCTTTTTTTTCCATGCCACAATACTGAGTAACCTCTTTTGCTCCTCACTAAAACTTCCCAAAGGCATTCTGAACACTAAGAAAATCTAGCAACAAGTAAATAGATTTTTAGTGGCGAAGTATCAATAAATTCATATCACACAAACTAAGCAACACCTTTTGCCTATGGCTCTTGTTAGAAAGCCATAAAAATCATGCATCGAATAACTAAAAACTTCATGTTGGGGAGGGTACCTAACCTATGGGCCAATACCTAGGATTTATCTACAAAGATTGATGCAAACCACAAACTTTCAGAAACCACTAAGACTCAATTCTAGAAAGAAACAAGAAGGTGCCACTGAGCCAGTTGGTCAACTCATGCGATGCAGTCAATTCAAGTACTAGCAAGCTGATAAAATTTACATAAGGAATCACTAATGCAAATCAATAACTCTTTCCAACAACTTTGCATAAATGATGCATTTGTGGAAATTTATAATAAATTAGGTCCTATATTATACACATAGAATATGCAGAGCAACAGAAAATATAGTGGAAAGGAGATAAAAAATTGAAGTAACCATAAAAAAGAGTGACCAACGAAGAAACCATAATTGTAAAACAAGTAACACTACCTGTGAAGCTTCAACAGATTTGGGCAGGTTCTCCAAGTAGAGCTCCCATTCCTGCCCCTTCCAATCAGCAACTTCATCCTCCCTTGGTATCTTCCCAAGCTTAAATTCGTTTGCAAGTGACACGATCTTCGTATATACACTGGAAACTGGTTCATAGGCATCTGGAGGAATACCAGTGCCCTCAGTCCACAGTTCTAAGTCAATCTGTTTCTCTATTCCAGGGACATTCTCTACCAAAAACTTAAGGAATGTCTCAGTATCAATTGACTTGAATTTAAATGAGGCAATATATTTCTTGAGGAATTCATCAAATGCAGGCCTTCCAATCTATGCATTCGAAAGAAAATACAAGTGAGAAAATTCTTCATAAACAAATTATAAAAACTTTGACAGAAAATAATTCAACAAACCTCACGTTCAATGCGCCATAGAAATTGGAAACCCTTCTCATACGGCACTTCAGAATACACATCATCAGGGTCCACTCCCTCCTGTTTAGTTTTGAGCTTCGTGAACTCCAAGTTTTCCTTAAACCTCTCCATTTCTCTATTTAAACCCCTCCAACCAATCCCAATATTTAACGCAGCTATGTCCTCTCCTTGAACAACCTCAACAATTCTTCTCTCCGCATAAGTTGTAAAACCCTATAATGACAAAAAATAAACTCTGCTTCATAGAATAAACCACAAATCTATTATTTCCTAACACAACTTTAAATAAAATAATAGAAATAAATAAAAAAAAGGTAAACAACAATACAAATTTACTGCACTAAAAGACAAAGTCGATCAACAAATCACATACCTCATTCAACCAAAAATGCTCATTGGTCTGATTAGTAATCAAATTTCCAGTCCAACTATGCGCAAGCTCGTGGGCTACAACTTGAGCCCCGCTAGCATCACCTTTGATCACTGTGGGGGTCAAAAACACCATTCTTGGATTCTCCATCCCACCACAAGGAAAGCTCGGAGGCAAAACCAACAAATCAAATCTCTCCCATTCATAATCCCCAAACAACTTCTCAGCTTGCCTATATAAACTCAAAATATTAACAGTTTTAAGAACATTTTCGCTTCTTAAACTACTAAATCCTAAATAATTATCAGTTTTAACTACACTTTCACCTATCAAATAATGAAAATTTTGAAGTTAATCAAAATGCTCAAAACTTAATTATTATCACTTGCCTTATCGTCTCCTCCGTCCCCGCAAACTCAAGCGCTGCCGCGTCCAACACAGCCGGAACGGACTCCGCATAAACCCTCGTCCTGGGCCCCACCTCACGGAACCCTAACTCTCCCACAGCGAAAGCAAACAAATAAGGCGGAATGGGCTGGTTCATTTCAAACACTTCAACAACTCGTCCCTCAGCACACCACAACGACTCAAAGTCAAAATTGAACAAATTGCTGCCAAACTTCTTCGTCTCGCCGGGGACGGGCGCGCGCCGATCGACGTGTTGCGCGGACATCACAGCCGAGAGCTGACTGGGAATGTTCAGGGACGCCTTGTAACAAATACGCGCGCCAGGCGTGTCCTGGCAGGGGAAAATGGAGCGCGCGTGAATACACTGGCACTGAGTGTAAACAAAAGGATGAGCTTTGTTGAAAGTTTGAGGAGGCGAGAGCCATTGAAGAGCAGAAGCGGAGGGAGAGGTTGAGAACAAAATTAAGAAGGCGCGTTCATTGTTAAGGGGGACGTCGAGGCGTTGGCCTTTGATTGGGTCAACGGTGGGGGAGAGAGACCAGGGGTGAGAAGCTAGGGTTTGGGCGTTGAGGACTTGATGGATGGTGAGTAAGCGGGTATCGAGAAAGAAAGGGCCGTTGTGTTCGTCGGAGACGGTGACGAGGGCGGCACCGTGGATGGTGGAGGTGGGGAAATCAAGGTAGAGAAAAAGGGAGATGTGAGTGGTAAGTGGCTGACATGCAGAGGCGTAGGAGTGGGGGTCGACGAAATCTACTACGGACATGGCGAGATGGAAATGGAAAGTTGGGGCTTAGGAAGAGACGAAAGGGACTTTTGTGAGGAGTGAGTTGTGATGTTGAAAGAATAAAGGAAGATTGTGGTGGTGGTGGTTGAGGAATCCGGTGCGGTTTGGATGTTAGTTTTAAATTTGGAGGGAGACTCTAAGCAACGTATTTGTCCGATTTTCTTTGAGGTTATTCCCGTCAATATATTTATTTATTTACTGTTTAATATTTTACTTTTTAAAAGAATCAAGCTGAGAAAATATCGTGGTGTCCCACGTTGTTCGTGTGAGAGGGTCGTGAATATTCAAGACTATAGCCCTTAACACAACATGACTCGTTTTGGGCTTGAAGCCCATAAATAAAACCGTGAGGCCCTATAATTGTATTGGATCATTTATAACACTTTATCAGTATGATTATAATTATATATAACACGTTATTAGCAAGATCACGACTATTTATAATACATTATCAGCACGATTGTGATGGAGGGGTGTGTTGTGAAGTTCCACATTGGTCTGTGTGAGCAAGGGTGTGTGTATATATGAGGCTATAGGTCTTAACCCAACACAACACATTTTTAGCCTAAAGCCCAAAAACCAAAAGATCGTGATGGAGGGGTCTGTTGTGAAGTCTCACATCGCTCTGTGTGAGAGAGATTGCGTATGTATATATATATATATATGCCTTAACAAAACATGATGTGTTTTAAGCCTAAAGCCCATAAACAAAACCGTGAGACCTTATAGTGTCTAAAACAGTCAATATCATGTTGTGCTATTTATAACAAGCCACCATATAAATATATTTTTAAGCCTAAGCCCAAAATGTAAGGATTGCATTAGACTTAGTTTATGAGGTAAAATAGTGAGAATTGTGACAAAAGACCCATTATAAAGGAAAAGCTAAAAATTTAGAACTTTAGGTTTGCCTCCATTGATAAAGAGAAAAGAGCATTGGAATCAAAAGTTGAGTGATTTGTAAGCATATATCGTTTAAGATTCATAGTGAAGCATTTCCCATACCTTGTATTCGATTAAATTCCACACTTGCAATTTTCTTTAATTTGTGGTTGATTCTTTGTCAAAACACTTGATTTGATCCACAAGTGTTTTTCGGTGGCATCAATTTGAGATTAAAAATGGTATTCATTTTATGGATTTTATAACACCCCAAGGTTCATTTACACTACATAATAAACATTATTATTGATATTACACTGAGTGAATCCCTTAAGCCAAAGCATTATTGCACCAAAATAATCTACAAGTGCTTGGAAAAGATGGACTCCACAACGCCTTGAGCGATAGGTGTAACGTCGCAAGCCTCGCTGAACACCCTTTTGGCCAAGATCTTCTCTTCTTCCTTTCCGGCTCCTGTTACAAGAGCAGTGTAGAGTGGTCGAAGGTACATAATCCTACCGACTCCTTCAAAGTTTTTCTACCTCACCGTAATAATCTCTGCACTTCGACAGAATGGCCAGCTGGAGAAATGCTACTTTCACCTCATAGTCTTTGATTCCGACAGTCGATAACGTTCATCCAAGGCTAATACCTGTTCATAAAAAAAAAAGAATTAGCATAATGTATCTTAGTTAAGGAACAAGCTAAGGTTCTTTAGTACTTGTCTTCTTCAATGATTTGGACATCCTTGGCAATATACATAGCAAGCCTCAGGCTCCCAACTAGAATGTGCTTGCAGATTCAGGATCCTTTAAGACATTTTACATATATGATTAAAAAGGTAGCTGCACCAGGGAATCATTTGACTGTATTCCTAGAAAATGTCAATCCTTGAAAACTGGACAAGCAAAATCAGCAAGGAAAAAATCAGATCAGTTAAGCTTCAGCAACACAAATCCCTTTTTTCCCATGCCACAATACTGAGTAACCTCTTTGCTCCTCACTGAAACTTCCCAAGGCATTCTTAACTAAGAAATCTACCAACAAGCATATAGGTTTAGTGGCGAAGTATCAATAAATTCATATCACACAAACTAAGCAACACCTTTGCCTATGGCTCTTGTTAGAAAGCCACAAAAATCATGCATCGAATAACTAAAAACTTCATGTTGGGAGGGTACCTAACCTATGGGCCAATACCTAGGATTTATTACAAAGATTGTGCAAACCACAAACTTTCAGAAACCACTAAGACTCCATTCTAGAAAGAAACAAGAAGGTGCACGAGCCAGTTGGTCAACTCATGCGTGCAGTCAATTCAAGTACTAGCAAGCTGATAAAATTTACATAAGGAATCACTAAGCAAATCAATAACTCTTTCCAACAACTTTGCATAGATGATGCATTTGTGGAAATTATATAAATTAGGTCCTATATTATACCCATATAATATGCAGAGCAACAGCAAATATGGTGGAAGGAGATAAAAATTGAAGTAACCATAAAAAAGAGTGACCAACGAAGTAAACCATTGTAAAACAAGTAACACTACCTGTGAAGCTTAACGATTTGGGCAGGTCTCCAAGTAGAGCTCCATTCCTGCCCCTTCCAATCAGCAACTTCATCCTCCGGATCTTCCCAAGCTTAAATTCGTTTGCAAGTGACACGATCTTCGTATATATACTGGAAAGGTTCATAGGATCTGGAGGAATAACCGTGCCCTCAGTCCACAGTTCTAAGTCAATCTGTTCTCTATTCCAGGGACATTCTCTACCAAAAACTTAAGGAAGTCTCAGTATCAATTGACTTGAATTTAAATGAGGCAATATATTTCTTGAGGAATTCATCAAATGCAGGCCTTCCAATCTATGCATTCGAAGAAAATACAAGTGAGAAAACTTCCATAAACAAATTATAAAAACTTTGACAGAAATAATTCAACAAACCTCACGTTCAATGCGCCATAGAAATTGGAAACCCTTCTCATACGGCACTTCAGAATAACATCATCAGGGTCCACTCCTCCTGTTTAGTTTTGAGCTTCGTGAACTCCAAGTTTTCCTAAACCTCTCCATTTCTCTATTTAAACCCCTCCAACAATCCAATATTAACGCAGCTTGTCCTCTCCTTGAACAACCTCAACAATTCTTCTCTCCGCATAAGTTGTAAAACCCTATAATGACAAATAATAAACTCTGCTTCATAGAATAAACCACAATCTATTATTTCCTAACACAACTTTAAATAAAATAATAGAATAATAAAAAAAGGTAAACAACAATACAAATTTACTGCACTAAAAGACAAAGTCGATCAACAAATCACTACCTCATTCAACCAAAAATGCTCATTGGTCTCATTAGTAATCAAATTTCCAGTCCAACTATGGCAAGCTCGTGGGCTACAACTTGAGCCCCGCTAGCATCACCTTTGATCACTGTGGGGGTCAAAAACACCATTCTGTGATCCATCCACCACAGGGAAAGCTGGAGGCAAAACCAACAAATCAAATCTCTCCATTCATAACCCCAAACAACTTCTCAGCTTGCCTATATAAACTCAAAATATTAACAGTTTTAAGAACATTTTCACTTCTTAAACTACTAAATCCTAAATAATTATCAGTTTTAACTACCACTTTCACTATCAAATAATGAAAATTTTGAAGTTAATCAAATGCTAAAACTAATTATTATCACTTGCCTTATCGTCTCCTCCGTCCCCGCAAACTCAAGCGCTGCCGCGTCCAACACAGCCGACCGGACTCGCATAAACCTCGTCCTGGGCCCCACCTCACGGAACCCTAACTCTCACAGCGAAAGCAAACAAATAAGGCGGAATGGGCTGGTCATTTCAAACACTTCAACAACTCGCCTCAGCACACCACAACGACTCAAAGTCAAATTGAACAAATTGCTGCCAAACTTCTTTCTCGCCGGGGACGGGCGCGCGCCGATCGACGTGTTGCGCGGACATCACAGCCGAGAGCTGACTGGGAATGTTCAGGGCGCCTTGTAACAAATACGCGCGCCAGGCGTGTCTGGCAGGGGAAAATGGAGCGCGCGTGAATACACTGGCACTGAGTGTAAACAAAAGGATGAGCTTTGTTGAAAGTTTGAGGAGGCGAGAGCCATTGAAGAGAGAACGGAGGGAGAGGTTGAGAACAAAAATAAGAAGGCGCGTTCATTGTTAAGGGGGACGTCGAGGGTTGGCCTTTGATTGGGTCAACGGTGGGGGAGAGAGACCAGGGGTGAGAAGCTAGGGTTTGGGCGTTGAACTTGATGGATGGTGAGTGAGCGGGTATCGAGAAAGAAAGGGCCGTGGTTGTCGGAGACGGTGACGAGGGCGGCACCGTGGATGTGGAGTTGGGAATCAGGTAGAGAGAAAGGGAGATGTGAGTGTAGTGTAAGTGGCTGAAATGCAGAGGGTAGGAGTGGGGTCGACGATCTACTACGGACATGGCGAAATGGAAATGGAAAGTTTGGGCTAAAGGGAGTTTTGTGAGGAGTGATGTTTGAATGAAAAGGAAGATTTTGGTGGTGGTGGTGATGGTGAAAGGAGTAAGGATATGCGGTTTGGATGTTAGTTTTAAATTTGGAGGGAGATTCTAAGACAGCAATGCTACAGAAACGGTGTTTTTACACCGAAATTTTGTACCGACTGACGTGTGTGCTGATTCAATCATCCAAGATTTGGCGTATTAAATTTGATTTTATGGACGGCCGTTCACTCATATGGACCCCCGTCCAATTATATGGACGAGGTCTATTTACTACGGACGGGCGTCCTGATTTAGAGGACGCCCGTCCATTGCTAAATAAAAATAAAAATATTAAAAAAATTAGGGACGGCCGTTCACAGGTCATGAGGCCGTCCATAAACATTGGACGGGCGTTCAAGTTAATGGACGCCGTCCTTTAATTTTGGACGGTTTTTTAAATATAAAAAATTAAAAAAAATCTGGGACGCTCGTCCACAAATTGTGGACGGGCGTCCTAATGTGTGGACGGCGTCCGTATAGAATGGACGCCCGTCCATAATTTTGTTTAAAAATTTTAAAAAAAATATTTGGACGGTCGTCCCATTCCTTAGGGACGCGTCCAATCCTTAGGGACGAGGTCCCTAAGTATGGACGGCCGCCCATACTTAAGGGACTCCGTCCTAAGGAATGGGACGACCGTCCCACCTCTAATAAAATAAAAAAGAAATTAAAAGTTTTAGGTTTATTTAAAACTTTAAATCAAAATTAGAA